CTGTGAAGAGCTATTCTTGACTTTTTCCTGATAGTAATGTCAAGTTCACCAGAATACAGTATGCGGAATATATCTTCCTTCCCCCTGTTGAAAATCATGTTGTTCTGACTTTATAGTCTTTTTTTTTTTTTTTTTTTTGAGGAAGATTAGCCCGGAGCTAACTGCTGCCAATCCTCCTCTTTTTGCTGAGGAAGTCTGGCCCTGAGCTAACATCTGTGGCCATCTTCCTCTACTTTCTATGTGGGACACCTACCACAGCATGGCTTGCCACGTGGTGCTATGTCCACACCCGGGATCTGAACTGGTGAACCCCAGGCCACTGAAGTGGAATGTGTGCACTTAACCGCTGTGCCACTGGGCAGCCCCCTAACTTTATAGTCTTTTGAACCCTCTCTTCTTCCTTACAATTCTTCAACTATGAGTCACTGCAATGTTGTAGCGGGAGATGGCCTGGGCTGGAAATTCTCTTGGCCCAATTCTCTTGGGTTGTGGAAATTCCCTTGGGTTGTAAAGGAGGTTCAGCTCCTCAGAGACTGGTAACAATAAACGCAAAGAGCAGGTTCAGCAAGTGAGAGGAATGGGGTAGGTGGCATATGTGGAAGCGGTACCCAGGATCATCAGGTAAGTACAAAGTAAATTTCATTGTTTTCAATTTCATTATTTATTTACTTAGAAGCTTCCTGTAAAGTCTACAAAGAATTTGGAAGGTGACTAGAGGCGCAACGGGAACAGCTACATAAATATTGTGCACATTTAAGAAAGAATAGTGCTATGTAAATTTTCTATGTGTATAAAATTAGTAAATATTCTTTGGTCTGTCGCCTTCTCAATACCATTATTGTATTTATAGTTTGGAATTTATGTCTTTTAGTTAATCTAGAAATTTGGTCCAGTTAGTCCTTTTGCACGTGTGCATGCATGTGGGTGTGTTTGCGTGTGTAGATTTTGTTTTTGCTTTCGTGTCAGGATTTCTCATTTGTCTCTGGCGGTCACAGATAACATTAGTTCACAGAACCACTTTAGGAGGCAGTTTAGAAAAACTACTTACATTTGTGGTCTTGTAAAGCTAGATTTGTTTTTCGATAGAACATGTGTAATGTAAACTTTTCTCATTAAAGTCCTCCTAACGATAAAGAAAAGTAAATATTACCTACCCCAACCTTCCACAAAAGATCTGAAAGCCAGTGTAGCCCTAAGATAGTCACCTTCTTCAAATTCCATTTTTAACTTTAAAAATTCATGGAATATTTTGAGGAAAAAGATATGGTTGTTATCTTGGTTGTGGTATTTCTACAGGTGTATACGTATGTCAAAACTAATCAAATTGTAACTCTAAAAATGTGCATAAAAATGTGCATGTATAACATACAATAACCTCAACAAAATTGTAAAAAAATTTTAAGCTCATGGGAGAATGAGTGAACAATAATTATATAAACCAACATAGATGAATGCTACAAACATAATATTGAGCAAAAGAAGCCAGATACGAAGGAGTGTAGATATATAATTCACTCTTAAGGGAGAGTAATGACTGAAAAGGGGTATAAGGAGGTCTTCTGAGATGGTGGTGATTTTGTTTCTTGAACTGGGTTACAAGGGTACATTTACTTCATGAAAATTCATGGAACTGTGCATTTGTGCACAGGACCTTTGTGGTGATAGAATAGTTCTGCATCTTGTTTACGGTGATGATGACACAAATCTGTAAAGATGTGATAAAGCTGCATAGATTTTTATACACACATACAAATAAGTGCATGAGGAAGTGGTGAAGTCGGAGTGAAGTCTGTGGATTAGAGCAATGTCAGTTTTCTGGTTTTGATATTGTACTACAGTTCTGTAAGATGCTACCACTGGGGGAAACTGGGTGGAACTTTGTGTACTAATTTTTCAACTTCTTGTAAATCTATAATTATTTCAAAATTTAAAAAAATGCTATTGTGTAAAGCAGTAATTTAGTGTGAGATCATCTATTAGATTTTCTACTTGTCTCCCCTTTCTACAAGTTTTTCTCCTCCCCCTCCTCAGGATTGTGGTGAAAGCTGTTATGTTCAAGGTGAGTGGTCCCAAACCTAGATGACATTGATTAGTCCAGGGTGGGCATCTGTCCTAATGTGGGCCAATTAGAGCCCTTTCCTGGAGGGTGGCATTTGGACTGAGAGAGAGCCATCTCTCTTCATGTATCTGGACTATACCTTGTCAATTCAAGAGCTTCCACGGTGTCCTATTTTCCATCACGTGGTCCGGGGAAGCAGAAGAACCTGGTCTTCAGAGAGAAGGTGGGATGAAGCAGATGTACAAAGAGAGAAAGATACAGGAGAGAGAGAGTCCTTCAGACGTTCGTCTTCCTGGCTCTTTATGGGCAGCTGAATTTCTGTCCTTGAGTTCTGTGAGACACTTCTGTACCTTTATAATAAATTCACTTTCTTATCTAAATAAGATCCTTTTGGATTTCTATTACTTGCAACCATAAAGAATCCTAACCAATACATCTAGGATGGTGCAATCATATTTATCCTGAGGCTTACAGGTAGAATATGTTTCTTTAAATTAAGGAGTATGACTTTATAGTAACTAAGATAAAGATTTCCACTTCCCCATTGTACAATCACACAGGATGTACTAAAGATAATTTAAGCCACCCCTCTCATTTTCAGGTGAGAAAACTGAAGGTGGAGAGGTTAAAGAACTCAGCCAAAGTCACACAGCCAGTTTCCAGAAGATCCAGAACCACCAGACCGTCACCTTCCTTCAGTGTTACATGTTACGTCCTGAGGGAAGCACCTGGATGTTCCATCGAGGGTTTTACTTGCTTGTTTGTATGCAGTGTATTAGCCGCATGACTAATGAATCAGAATTGGTTAATAAGGACCGTCTGAGAGATGAAATGAATAAGGCATAGGGATTCGGGGTCTAAATAGAGTTACAATTATAGGCACTTAATACTAAAAACACTTGTTACTTTTATCATTATTAGTCATAGAGATATTCCATTTGTCACTCGGAACAGATAAACATAGTCTTTTGAGACTCAAACGTAATTTCAGGACAGATTACTCAAACATTTTAATTCAAATAGTGAGTATCTAGAATTGAGGAAAAAATTTAAGACTATATTAAACAGGATGTCAATACTCGGTTTGACGTAAACTTCCTGAGGGGCGGAGGTTTGCTCTGAAACTTCCTGCTTGGTCATAAAGGGGAACAAGGCAGCTGGAACACATTAGTCTTTCTTGATCTCGTCCTATGTGGTCAATTAAAAATGCTGATTTAGGATTGTTCTTAAAAAACAAGAGTAGCCAAAGCACAGCCTTGTGTTGACTGTATTTGGGGAGGCACCTGTAAGTGGGAAAGAAGTATCACTCAATTTTTAAATAAAGAGAAGTCTGATAAACACGTGACTTGCTGGAAAGCAAAGCACGGAATAGAAAAACTGTAATTTGCAGCTTTCAGTTTTATGTTCCCTTAATGGAAGTAGCTGCTCTTATCACTGCTGGTGCATTGGACACCCAAAGTTGTAGTGTCTGCTTTTCGATGAAAGTTGTCTGCCACTGTTGGCTGTGCCCCAGCTGTCTCTGCTGGGGCTGTGGATGGTACACAGCCCTGTGTTCTGTGTGCATGTAACTCTCGCTACTCCTGTTCTCCTCTCAGCTGGCAGAGTGTCTTATCTTTTTAGTAGTTCCTTCTGTAGAGGGGCATTTAATATTGATTTCCCAGGTGTAGGGACCCCAGCTCTCTCACCACCTCGGGTGCCCGTGCTATTGTTCTTTGTCTTGGTTTCCTGGAGCTGCGCTCTCCTAGAGAGCAGGCACTCACTCCTTCACATGCTTGAGACTCAAACCTTTGGGCCAGGGGGAAAGAAAAAACTTTTCTCTCTGTACAGTTGCCAACAAATGAGTAACTAAAAGAAAGCTAAAAAAAAAAAAAAAAAAGAAAGAAAGGAAGGAAGGAGCAAAAAAATAAAAGAAAGAGAGACTTCCCAGTCTTTTAAGAGTTTCTCTGGGGTAGACGGTAAATAGGGCAGGAAAGGCTTCTTTGGCACTCATCTCAGGTAGATTTCTTCCAGAGTATGGCCCAACACTTTCATGTTCAGTAGGCTTCCTGATGGCCCCACTCCTTTCTGCAACATTTTCTCTTTCTTCCTGGCCTGCAGCATTGCATCTTCAGAATATTGTTTTGCAAAGAAATGTATCATGCCTGTGGCTTTGGTATTAATATTTGGTGCAATCTTAATTTATATCCCCCCAAGTCCTTATTACCTACAGTTCCACCTTGCAACTCTGTCACAGAGGCTAGCAGAAGGATAAATGCATGTAAATTAATTTAGCAAACACTTGTTAAAGAGAGAGAAGCACTGAGACAAGTTGGAAGCTCGTAATCCTGTAACTGTGAAACTGTGATGAATATCAGACACTGACAGTTGAAGTACAGAGGTACAGACAATAAATAGACACTCAGAAAGTGATGGCAGGAGAGAGTAGTTCCACATGAGAATGATGGGGTTTTAGTAAAGTAGAACTTAATTTTTAAAAAATTACTGTACTTTTCTTTGATGACAAAAGGAATACTGGCTTTGCGTTCTTGAAAGTTTGAAAAACACGGAAAAGCGGAAAGAAAGAAAAAAAAATCCACCCCTGAGATAATCATTGTTAATCTTTTGGCACATACCTTTTAACATTTTCATTTATGTATACATTTATACACACACAAACACACACACATACACATATAATTAGGATCTTATTCTATGTAACACTCTGTAACATCATTTTTTAACCTAACAATATATTGTGAATATTTACTCACATCCTGGTATGTTCTTCTCTACCTGATTGTCAATTCCAGAGTAAGGACGCTCTGTACTTAATTCCCACTATTAGACATTTAGTTTGTTTCTAATTTTTAACCATGATAAACAACACTGTAGTGAACCATCAAACATAAATCATTTTATAAATATCAGATTACTTTTCTTAAGTTCCTAGAAATTGAATCGCTTAGTCAAGGTATTTGGACATTTTAAGGCTTTAATGAACTCCTATGAGCAACATATGAGGATCTCCTCTTCTGATGGGTATAACTTTTCTAGGGGTGACAACATCTCTTATTTGGAGGCTTGATTTGTTTTGAAGATGCAGAAAATTATATAACAGAGGTATTTCTCCCTGGCATGCCGCACCAGGAAAGAGACACAGTGCTCTGTCTGTTCTCCCCTGCCAGCTTGGAGTTTGAATGGAGAAGGGTAAGTTTGTGTATAAGGTGGTGTCACGCCCTTGTCATGTGAGACACAATATGTTGATCAAAGAGGAGAAAAGCTTTGGGCAGTTCTTCTCATCTCCTGTGTTCTTTTGCTAAATGCCTTCCACACGGTATTAAGTAGTCTGCTACAGGTGGACAGTATAGGTCTTCCTTGCCAGAATCTTTTCCCCTTCAAAGGTGATAACTAATTTCCCTGTTTTAATGAGTATAGCATGAAGTGTCACTAAACATGTATGAGGAGCTATATAGTAATATACAGGTGACTATATGGTGTATATAGTAATCCTTGAATAACAATAGGTCATATGTTATTGAAAAGTATTATGTCAAGCAAAAACTCCATTGGTAATTTGTTTTACTTGTCTAGGATGCTGTACTCCCACCGCTCCCCCAAGGAGAAAATATACTCCATGAAGACTAGAGGCTTGTCTGTCTTGTTCACTGCTGCATTCTTATCTTGAACAGTTATAGATATGGAGTATAAGGTCTCAAGGTATTTGCTGAATGAATGAAAAATAGAGACATAATTTTAAAAGAGTCAAAAACGGCATTGAATTTATAAAAAACTCCATAAACAAAAGTTCTAAAGGCATCTCATTCTAAAACACAGTGGCAAGTTTAATCTAATTCCAAACTTTTAAGTGGTAGCATGCATGACTGGTTCAATCAATGATGTCATAGTTAAAGTTCAGAATGAGCAGTAAAGGCACAGCAGTGTTCATAACACCAGTGTCGAAGGGAGCCCTCCATGTTCTGACCGAACATTTGAGAAAGGACAGAGCACCAGTCCATGTGGGCAAGTGTTTAAGCCTATAGATGATGAAAAAGGAAGTAATTGCAGGAGCAATTTCCCTTTTTGTTATTTTTGTGGGCTTCTCTTTAACTGTTGTTTTTTCACCCTTTGTCATTCAAAACTAAAAGATAATTAACTCTAGAGGACCTGAGTAACTGATCTTCAGTAAATAGTTAACTTACACAATTTTAGGAGAATTAATTAAAGTATGTTCAACTTAATGGACGCTTAGAAAGCGCTCTCTTTTTTCAGATGACTACCATAGGTGCCCTTTAAAACTTGAACTTTTAGGGGCTGGCCCTGTAGCTTAGTGGCTAATTTCTGCACACTCTGCTTCAGGGGCCTGGGTTTGTGAGTTTGGATCCCAGGCGTGGACCTACACCACTCATTGGCCATGCTGTGGCAGCGACCCACATATAAAGTAGAGGAAGATGTTAGCTTGGGGCAAATATTCCTCAAGCAAAAAAATAAAAGGGGAAGATTGGCAACAGATGTTAGCTCAGGGCTAATGGTCCTCAGCAAAAAAAAAAAAAAGAAGAAGAAGAAGAACTTTTAACCAAAGTCTTAAATATCAGAATAAGGCAGAAAACTTGTTCGATTTTTTTAACTTCATTTTTATTATGAAATGTATCGTACATACCAAAGAGTGTATAAAACATAGATATAGATTTTAAGGATAACTAAAGAAACATCTATGTACCCACCAGCTTGAGAATAATTTCTTTAATTAACTATTTATGAGAATTGTCAAGTTGATTGTTCTCCAGTTGGGCTTTCATGAAATGATGGGTTTAATTAAATAGATTGGTCTAGGGGCTGGCCCAGTGGCGCAGCGGTTAAGTGCACACGTTCTGCTTCAGCGGCCTTGGGTTTGCCGATTTGGATCCCAGTGCAGACATGGCACTGCTTGGCAAGCCATGCTATGGTAGGCATCCCACATAGAAAGTAGAGGAGGATGGGCTCAGGGCCAGTCTTCCTCAGCAGAAAGAGGAGGATTGGCGGCAGTTAGCTCAGGGCTAATCTTCCTAAAAATATATATATAAATAAATAAAAATAAAAATAAAAAAATAAATAGATTGGTCTATTCAAATCTACAGCTCTGATAATTTCTACTACAGAATACTTATTTCCAGAATTGACCATACTACAGAGCTACGAGTATACTGTTTTTCAGAATAGTGGAGAACTAATTAGGTATCTATGGTTTGTAAAAATAGAACCTCATGGTTTTTTAATGGAAAAGTATGACTGGAAAGTACAACTGTTGAGGATTAATTTCTAAACTCAGATGTGAGATCATGACACAATCACTTGGCAAGTATTTCTGGGTAATAACTACCTTGACTGGGTAAAGAATAAATCTTCTCAGATGCATATTAATTTCTTCTTTAGTTAAATGAAATTTGAGTTAGAGCTAGGTTAATATTTATCAAGTGGAATCTGTATTGCTATCGATTGCTGCATAACAAGTTACCACATAGTGGCTTAAAGCAATAAACATTTATTATCTCACAGAGTCTGTGGGTAAGGAGGCTGGGCATGACTCAGTTGGATCTTCTGATGCTGGGACTCTCCCGAGGCTGCTATCAACGTGTTGGTTGTTGTTACAGTCTTCTTAATGCTTGACTGAAGGTGGGTCCACTCCTGTCTCACTCAGGAGGGTGTTGGTAGGATTTAGTTCCTCTCAGGGTGTTGCACTGAGGGCCTCAGTTCCTCCCTGGCTGTTCACTGGAGGCTCCCCTCTGTTCTTTGCCACCTAGACTTATCCATTGGGCACTTCACAACATGGCAGTCTCCTTCATCAGAGTGAGCAAGTGAGAGAGCAAGAGAGAGAGAGGAAGATGGAAGTCATAGTCTTTTGTACTCTAATCTCAGATGTGACGTTCTATCACTTTAGCTGTATTCTATTCATTAGAAACAAGTCACTAGGTCTAGTCCACACACAACAGGAGGAAATTACACAATGATGTGAAAGCCAAGAGCTGGGGATCATTGGAAGCCTCAAAAAGGAGCAGAAGATGCTTTATTCTTGCGCAATTAGCGGAGGGTAATAACCACATCCTCAGCCCATTGGCACCCCTACAGAGTAACATTTCTATTGTGCCTTCCTTTCTACCAGAGGTATCCTTTTGGGCTCATTTCATCCGTTTGACGGAAATGCTGACAACACAGCTTTTAGGTGATTAGGGTCCAAGAAGCCCACTGGAGAGGTTGCTATATTACAACCCCTTTTCAGTTGTACCACCTTTTATGAAAACTGTGTGTTTGAAATTTTCCACATCTTTTCTTGGCCTAAAGATGATTATTTTTCTGTTTGGAAAATGTGAGATAACTCATCTGAGGTGATTTTTTTTTTTTTTAATATTCACAGGGGAAAACATATTTATTATTCACTTTGAAAGTTTTCTTTTAAAAATAATTTCTTCTGAGTTGCCTTCTCCACTCTGTCATTCTGTGACTTGCTAGAAAATGATCCTACTTGTTTTTGGATTCATTAGAGTAACAATTGGTCACTTGAAAATTAAGTTTTATGCTTAATATCTTCCATAATTTTAAGTAAATTTCTCAAATTTTACTTAGGAGCAAAATTGCAGTGGAAGAGTACAAAAAACTGCTAGTCTTAAAATCTGTTTAATACTTGAAGCTGTAAAATCAAGATATAATAAATGATTAAAGGAATTTTTGACATGTTTTTTAAAAGCTCTTGAGGTGTTAATTAAGCTGCTTAATTATTACCTAGTACTACATTTTGGCAAAGTATGATTGTTTTTCTCATTTCTTAATTGTTTGTTTTAGGATTTTTTTTCCTTTCTCACTTTTTTACCTTCCGTCATCTTGTGAAATGACTCAAAAACCTTAAGTCTGGATTGCTTAACTAAGAAAATAAAAAATTTGTGGTATGATTTATGCTACCAGCAAGGATGATGTAACAGGAACCAGAATTAGTCTCTCACCTAAAACAATTTAAAAACTGGACAAAAGGTATGAAGTAAGAGTTTTCAGATATCAGATAGCAGGCAGCACAGGACAGCAATTTCTCAGAGAAGAAAACAAACAAGGTGAGTCCTCTGATTGCCCCTGGCTACAGGAGGTTTTCCAGGCTACAGCATAGGGAAGAGGAAGTGGAACCCAAACAGAGCTCAGTCACCTCTGAGTTGAGGAAATGGTTTGAAGATATGGAAAGCAAAGGCATCAGAATTTGCGGGTGAAAACTGGAGGAAAGAGCTGCACAAATGAAGAGCTTAGCAGACTTCCTCTTGAATCTTCCACTGACTGCTGATCAGTACCTGCATGTGAGAAAACTACCAAGACTGGAGAAAGAATCACTGGAAAAGAATAAGCACAACAAGACTTGGAGTCATGCAGAGTGAGGAATAACTTGTGTTCCAACCAGACAGAATGGAAGGACGTCCTAACATGTAGGGCACTGAGTAGAGGCTTCAGAAGGTTATTGCCTCTGTAGTTGGGCCAAATAAGCCCTAAATTAAAGGCTGTTCTGGACCTGCCCATCAAAGCTTACAGGTAAGACTTGAAAGGGTCAAACTGTTTCCAAGGAACTTAAATGCATCCTAGAACAAAGCCCAAAAATACTTAAAGGAATACAAAAAACCTCCAGCACAATGGCATCTAATCAAAAATTAGAAGATATTCAAAAGAGCAGGCAAATACAATCTATAATGAGGAAAAAATTAATCAATAGACACAGTCCCAGAAATGACACAGATGACAGGATTATTTAAATTAGGGATATTAAAACAGCTATTATAACAATACTCCATATCTTCAAGAAGGTAGAGGAAAGTGCAAGAAGAGGTAAGATATAAAAGATCCAAATCAAATTTCTAGAGATAAAAACGAGAATCAATGTCTAAAACAATACTCCAAATAGGATGAACAGCAGATTGGACACTGTTGAAGAAAAACTTAGTAAACTTGAAGACATAGCAATAGAAATTATTTAAAATGAAACATAGAAACATAACAGAGTGAGGGGGAAAAAAAAGCAAAGCATGAGAAATCACGCAGCCTAAAATATGTGTAGTTAGAGTCTTAAAAGAGGAGGAGAAAGATGGAGAGAAGGAATATGTATTTGAAGAAATAAGGACCAACAATTTTCCAAGTTTGATGAAAAGTATAAACTCACAGATTCAAGAAGCTCAATAAATCCCAAGCAAAAGAAACAGGAAATAAAACACACTAATGCACATAAAAATGAAATTGTTGAGGACCAGTAACAAAAAGAAAATATTAAAAGAGAAACAAAAGACAAAACCATCAACCTACAATTCTAGATGCAGCAAAAATCTTTCAAAAATGAAGTCAAAATAAAGACATTTTCAGACATACAAAAGCTGAGAGATCATCACTAGCAGACCAGTTGAAAAAAATGAAAAATGAAGCTCTTTAGGCACAAGGAAAATGGTAACCCGTTGAAAATGTGGATTTACACAAAGAAATGAAGAGTGCTGGAGATGGTACATGTGTGGGGAAATATAAGGCTTTTCTCTTTTAAAATAATGATCTGCTTAAAAAAATAACAATGTATTGTGGAGTCTATAATATACGTGGAAGTAAATATGTATGACAACAACAGCACAAAGGCTGGATGGGGCAAAGGGATGTATATAATTATACATTCTTTATACTATATACAAATTAGTATAAAATTACATAAGATAGACTGTGGTAAATTAAAAATGTATACTT